ATAGGTGTTGGGCCCTAGCTGGTTTGGCTCAGTATACAGAGTATCGGCCTAAGGAATAAAGGGTACCAGGTTAAATTCTGGTCAAGGGCATGCATGTACTTTAGTTGCAGGCTGCTCCCTGGCCCTGGCCCTGGCCCTGGCCCTGGTTGTTGCATGTGTGGAAGGCAGCTAATTGATGTGTTTCTCTCACATCGATGTTTCGCTCTGTCTTTCATTCTCTCTTCCACTCTCTAAAAATCAATGAATATATATATCCTCAAGTGAGGATTAAAAAATCCTGTATAATAAAAGGGTAATATGCAAATTGACCCTAACAGACTAACGACCCAGAAACGACAGATCACTATGACGCATAATGACCACCAGGGGGCAGATGCTCAATGCAGGAGCTGCCCCCTGGTGGTCAGTGTACTCCCACAGAGGGAGCTCTGCTCAGCCAGAGCCTGGCTGATGACTATGAGCACAGCAGTGGTGGCAGGAGCCTCTCCCACCTCCTCAGCAGCAATAAGGATGTCCAACTGCGTCTTAGGTCTGCTCCCGCATCGAGCAGACCAAAGTTGCAGTCAGACATCCCCCAAGGGCTCCAAGGCTGCCAGAGGGATGTCTGAGTACCAGCTTAGGCCCAATTCCCCATGGAGTGGGCCTAAGCCAGCAGGTAGACATCCGCTGAGGAGTCCTGGACTGTGAAAGGGCACAGGCCAGGCTGAGGGACACCCCCCGCCCAAGTGCATGAGTTTTCATGCACTGGGCCTCTAGTAATAATAATAAAATAAAAATTTAAAAAATGCGTGTTGAATTTTGTTGAATACTTTTTCTGCATTTATTGATACGATCATGTGATCTTTATCTTTTAATATGCTGATGTGATGTATCACTTTTATTGATTTTCGAATTTTGTACCAGCCTTGCAACCCCAGAATAAATCCCACTTGATCATGGTATATGATCTTTTTAATATATTTCTGGATGCAATTTGCAAATATTTTGTTGAGGATTTTAGCCTCTATGTTCATCAGGGATATTGTCCTATAATTCTCTTTCGTTGTAGTGTCTTTCTCTGGTTTTGGAATTAGGATAATGCTGGCCTCATAAAAAGAGCATGGAAGTGTTTCTTCCTTTTGGATTTTTTTTAATCATTTGAGGAGTATAGGTGTTTATTCTTCTTTGAATGTTTGGTAAAACCCCCCTGTGAAGCCATCTGATCTGGACTTTAGTTTGCTGGGATTTTTTTTATTACTGCTTTTATTTCATCAATTATTATTGGCCAATTCTGGTTTTCTGATTCTTCCTGATTCAGTTTTGGAAGATTGTATTTTTTTTTGGAATTTATCCTTTTCCTCCACATTGTCCAACTTGTTGCTATATAATTGTTCATAATATTTTCTTACACTTCTTTGTATTTCTGTGGTGTCAGTGATTACATCACCACTTTCATCTCTGATTTTATTTATTTGCATCCTCTCTCTTTGTTTCTTGATGAGTCTAGCTAATGGTTCCTCAATCTTGTTTATCCTTTCAAAGAACCAGCTCTTGGTTTCATTGATTTTTTTTGTATTTTTTTTTTAGTCTCTGTGTCATTTATTTCTGCTCTAATCTTTATTTCCTAATGTCTACTTACTAGGGCTTTTCTTGTTTTCTTTCTAATTCTTTAAATTGTAGGGTTGTATAACTTATTAAAAGTTTTTCTTGTTTTTTGAGGTAGGCCTGTAGTGCTATGAACTTCCCTCTCAGTACTGCTTTTACTGTGTCGCAAAGATTTTGGGTTGTTGTATGCTCATTTTTACTTGTTTTCAGTATGTTTTTTATTTCTTTCCTGATCTCATTGGTAACCTATTCATTGTTTAATAACATGCTACTTAGCTTCCATGTGTTTGAATTTTTTGGGTTGTTTTTACTAGAGTTGATTTCTAATTTCATTCCACTGTGATCTGAGAAGATGCTTGATATGATTTCAATCTTCATTCATTTGTACTAGTGGAGACTTGTTTCATGTCCTAACATGTGGTCTATCTTTGTGAATGATAAATATGTACTTGAGGAGAATGTATATTCTGCAGCTTTGCAGTGAAATCCTATATAATAAAGAGGTGATATGAAAATTGACCATCACGGCCTCACCCAAGATGGCCGCTCCCATGTGGTCACAAGATGGCTGCCATAAGAGGGCTGGCAGGGGAGGGCAGTTGGGAGGGGGGCAAGGCCTGCAGGAGAGGGCAGTTGGAGTTGATCAGGCCAGCAGGGGAGCAGTTAGGCACTGATCAGGCTGGCAGGGGAGTGGTTAGGGAGTGATAAGGCTGGCAGGCAGAAACAGTTAATGGGCAATCAGGCAGGCAGGCAGGCAGGCAAGAGGTTGAAGCCAGCAGTCCTGGATTGTGAAAGGGATGTCCAACTGCAGAATCAGGCCTAAACTGGCAGTCAGACATCCCCTGAGGGGTCTCAGATTAAAGAGTGTGAAGGCTGGGCTGAGGGACATCTCCCCTCTGGGCCTCTTGTGTTCTATAAATGTCAAATCCATCTGATCCAATGTGTCCTTTAGAGTCACTTATTTCTTGTTAATTTTTGTCTGGGAGATCTATCCAGTGAAGTCAGCAGGGTGTTAATCTCCCTTACTATGACTATGTTGTTGTCAATCTCTTAAAGTCCTCTAGAAGTATTTTTTATATATTTAGGTATTCCTATATTAGGTGCATATATGTTTATGAGGATTATATTCTCTTGTTGGATCAATCCCTTTAGTATTATATAGTGACCTTTGTTGTCTCTTGTGATGGCCTTCATTTTGATGTCTATTTTGTCAGACATGAGTATTGCTACCCAAGCTTTTTTTTTTCTTTTCCATTTACATGGAAATTATTTTCATAACTTCACTCTCATCCTGTGTGAGTATTTTGTTCTGAGGTTGGTCTCTTGTAGATAGGCACATAGTTGGGTCATGTTTTTGTATCCATTCAGCTACCCTATGTCTTTTGATTGGAGCATTTAATCGACTTACATTTAAGGTTATTATTGGTAGTGACTTTTTTATTGCCATTTTAATTCTGTATGCCTAGGCTCTTTGTCTATTTATTCTTCTTGTTACAACAGTCCATTGAGCATTTCTTGTAATGCTGGGTTGGTGGTGATATACTCCTTTAGCTTTTTTTTTTCTTCTTTCATGGGAATCTCTCTATTTCACCATCTATTTTGAATGATAGCCTTGCTGGATATACTAATCTTGGTTTCAGATCCTTGCTTTTCATTACTTTGAGTACTTCATGCCATTCCCTTCTGGCATGTGAAGTTTTTTATGTAAAATAAGATGTCAGCCTTATGGGAACACCTTTGTAGGTAACAGTTTGCTTTTCTCTTGCTGACTTTAAGATTCTCTCTTTGCCTTTAATTTTTGGCATTTCAATTATGATTTGTCTGGGCATGGGCCTGTTTGCATTCTTCTTGCTTGGGGTTCTCTGTACTTGCTGTACTTGTGTAACATTTCCCTTTACCAGGTTAGGGAATTTTTTGGCCATTATTTCTTCAAACAAGTTCTCTATCCCTTCCTCCCTTTTTGCCTCTTCTGGCACACCGCTATTTTAATATTGTTTTGTTTCACATTGTCCCACAGCTCTCTTAAGCTGTCCTCCTGTTTTTTAATTGTTTTGTTTTTTCTTTCTGGTCCTCTGATTGAGTGATTTTTTTCAACCCTGTCTTCTAATTCACTGATTTGGTTGTCAGCTTCCCCTAATTTGCTGTTTATTCCTTCCAATGTGTTCTTTATTTGTGCTGTGTCATTCTTTATTTCTGTTTTCATAGTTACCATACTGTTGAGCATCTTTACCTTCATTATTCTGAACTCTATATCTGATAAATTTTTTATCTCCATTTCATTTATTTCTTCTGGAGAATTCTCTTGTTGTTCCATTGAGGGTCGTTTCTTTGTCTCCTCATATTGGCTTCCTATTTGGGTTTGTGAGTATGTATTAGGTAGATCTTCTATACCATTCAATCTCTATTGCAGGTGTCTCAAACACTGTTTCTGACTAATTAGATCAGGAAAAGACTCAAGGGCTCCAGAGACTGCCTCTGGCTACAGACTGATAGGATTGCCTCTTGAATAGCCCTCAGGCAATCATCCATGGGTCTGGTGAGGTTTTTTTTCAACAGGGTGGGGCAATTGCTTCTGCCAGGAGGATAATTATTATTCTCTTAAATGGCCTCAGAAACTCTGCACCATGGGGCAAGGTGTTTTCAAATAGGGTGGGTCACCTATCTTCCCCACAGCTGTCTGTATAGAAAATGTCTGCATGATAAAGATGACTTCTGCAGCATGAGGGAATGACTCAGCTCCAGAAACTGAGGTGTCTGCCTCCTGAGTTCTAACTCCAGAGCTCCTGATCCTCACTTTTGCTTATACAGCTCCAATCTACTCTGTCCTCCCTCTGCCGGACCACAAGGTGAGTTGCTCCACAGAGAATTTTGTGCATTGGCCCTTTAGTAGGGTACCTGCATTTCCAGCCATTTCTCCCTAGCAGACAGCAACCCCGCTGCTTTTCACAGCCTTCTGTTATGTGGATACCCTTCTCAGTTCTGGTGCTCTCTCCTGGAGTGCCGAGCTTGGGGATTAGACCCAAGAGTTCTCAGTTGCAAACCCCACAGTTGAGATATCTCTCCATAACTTCAGTTGCTGTGTGTGGGAGCCCAGCCAGTCCTTTCATTACTCTACCCCTCCTACCAGTCTCTATGCGGTCTCCACTTTCCATCCTCATTTATCTGGATTCTCTCCAGTGAGTCTTCTGCTGATTATGCAGGAATATATTCTGTATTTTATTTGTAGTTCCAGTTTAGTCCTGGGAGTTTGCCCCTGCAGCATCCAATTACTACACTGCCATTTTTTCTGTATATTCTGATTTATAACATTATCACATTTCTTTATACAACTTAAATAGAATATTTCACCAATATTGCCTCCATAAAATGGCAATTTCATCAGTAAAACATAAATGAAAATAGAAACAAGTACTTACTCACAGTAATATCACTTCCCCAGAACAGAAGCACAGCCAACATTGAGAAAATAATAATAAGGGCATGGTCATTTGCAGAAAACCATAAAGCTGGGAAGAAAAAAACACAAAAATCATGACTAATATTTATTATCATAAATTTATGTCCAGCCAATTAATGATCAACAGTGTGTTTTTTTTAAAATATATTTTGTTGATTTTTTTTACAGAGAGGAAGGGAGAGGGATAGAGAGTTAGAAACATCAATGAGAGAGAAACATTGATCAGCTGCCTCCTGCACACTCCCTACTGGGGATGTGCCCGCAACCAAGGTACATGCCCTTGACTGGAATCAAACCTGGGACCTTTCAGTCCGCAGGCTGACACTCTATCCATTGAGCCAAACCGGTTAGAACTCAACAGTGTTTTTTATTATTGAGATGGAAAATTAAAATAATAAGTTAAAACTGCGGTCTTATATAGATACATAAATAATTACAGATATATTTAATTAAATAACAAATATTAATGAAACAAAAAAATAGTTCTTTAAGTATTTTCCACCACACTTTCCCTAAGCTGTGATTCATGGAAAGAAGTAGTATACCCCAGGAGCTGAGAAAAGGGCTCTAGAGCCACAGTGCCTGAGTTTGAAACACAATTGTAACTTACAATCTGTGTGATCTTGGACAGCCTAACGCCTTTCTGTTTTTCGGTTGCTACATGGGTACAATAAGTAATGGCACCTTGAATGACTGTAGTTAACTGTTAACAAAATTAAGATATGAAAAGGGCTAAAAACAAAGCTTGACCCCTCAAAGTGCTCAGTGAACATTAACTACAGTTATTATTATGGGGTCCTGTAGTGATTGTTGTATGTGTAATGTGCCAAGAATTTACCTTAAAGCAAGAGTTATCTTCCTGTAAAGACTGACTCAGGGGACAGGAGTGAGGAAGTAGTACAACTGGGTACCCTACCCTTGGTCTTACTGTGACCTAAGAGTAAGACAGATGTGAGCCTGAGCTTTTCTGAAACTTACTCTGGAACAGAGGATGAATTCGTAAATAATTAATCTTAAAATGACTGCTGACAAAAAGTAACATGAGGAGCTTTAGGTAGTAAGGAAGCTTCTATCAAGTTGAACATGTGTTACTCAAAATGCAGCTGTAGAAAGGAAATTGTGATATTAAGACTTCCAATAAAATTTGCTGAGAACTTTTAAAAATTACGTTTAATTGCATCTGATCAATGCTTAAGGCCATGTTTTTATTGATGAAATTTCTCCTGTAACAATAAAGCCAGGTATATGCACTGAAAGCCTTTCAGAGTTTGCCTAGACTGGAAGACTTGCTAGGTGAGGAACACTTCTGAATAGTGCACAAGGCAAGCACTGGCGTTGCTCTGAAATGATCCCTTTCAAAATCTCCACTGTATCCACATGTGAGGATCCTTGTGGGCTTTCACACCATAATGCTAGTCACACATTTCTTGTATTAAGCTTATAACGCTGAACTCGTAAATTTTCAGTCATCCCCAGAATATAACAACACTATCAATTCTTATCTTTGAGATAGTAGCTTTCCAGATTCCAGCATTTTGACCTGTACATGGCAGGGACTCAATAGGTTTACTATGGATGGTTGAAATAGTCATAGGACAGTTTAGTGAGTGAATAGAAGACAGGCTTTTGTGATGCTCCCATGGTTGCAGATCCACCAAGAGATTGTTATTTTCAGGTACCCTGAATCAATGCCACTTTAATTTCCAACTGAATTATTGAATATCTTCTATACCAAAGAAAGCCCATTTCCATTTAGCCTAAAATCCTATACTAAAAATCTTTCTGAATTATGCTTAGGTTTCCATATGCCTGAAGGATCTAGTAAAAGCTCTAGAATCTAATGACTATTTTTAATCAACTTCCTTTCTTCTACCCACTTTATTATTTGGTTTTGAAACATTAACTACTCAATCCTTATAATTATTATGTGATGAATTATGAACCCCTCCTTACCATTGAAAACATGAAGATACAGTGAATTAAGGATCTTAAGTATGTAAGACTCAAACATGATCTATTTTTATTTTATTTTTTTAAAATTCTTTATTAGTTAAGGTATTACAAATGTGTCCTTATCCCCCCATTAACCCCCCCCCCACTCATGTTCTCATCCCCCTGTTGTCCATGTCCATTGGTTTGGCTTATATGCATGCATACAAGTCCTTTGGTTGATCTCTTCTCCTTACCCCCTCCCTCCCCTACTTTCCCTCTGGGGAGTGATAGTCTGATCACTATTTCTCTGTCTTTGGGTCTGTCCCTGTTTATCAGTCTATGTTGTTCTCTATAATCCACAAATGAGTGAGATCATGTGGTATTTATCTTTCTCTGACTGGCTTATTTTACTTAGGATAATGCTCTCCAGTTCCATCCATGCTGTTGCAAAAGGCAAGAGTTCATTCTTTTTTACCACAAGATAGTATTCCATTGTGTAGATGTACCACAGTTGTCTAATCCACTCATCTGCCGATGGGCACTTAGGCTGTTTCCAAATCTTATCTATGGTGAATTGTGCTGCTATGAACATAGGGGTGCATATATCCTTTCTGATTGGTGTTTCTTGTTTCTTGGGATATATTCCTAGAAGCGGGATCACTGGGTCAAATGGGAGTTCCATTTTTAGTTTTTTGAGGAAACTCCATACTATCTTCCACAGTGGCTGCACCAGTCTGCATTCCCACCAGCATGGCAGAAGGGTTCCTTTTTCTCCACATCCTCTCCAACACTTGTTGTTTGTTGATTTTTTGATGATAGCCATTATGACAGGTGTGAGATGATACCGCATTGTCATTTTGATTTGCATCTCTCATATAATTATTGACTTTGAGTATGTTTTCATCTGTCTTTCGGCCTTCTGTATGTCTTTCGAGGTCCCTTGCCCATTTTTTGATTGGATTGTTTATCTTCCTATTGTTAAGTTTCATGAGTTCCCTGTAAATGTTGGAGATTAATCCCTTATCGATGGTATCATTGGCAAATATGTTCTCCCATGTAGTGGGTCTTCTTGTTGTTTTGTTGATGGTTTCCTTTGCTGTGCAAAAGCTTTTTATTTTGATGTAGTCCCATTTGTTTATTTTCTCTTTAGTTTCTATTGCCCTAAGAGCATTATCAGAGAAGAAATTCCTTCGGCCTATGTTTCTGATTTCGCTGCCTGTAGATTCCTCTAGTATTTTTATGGTTTCCCATCTTACGTTTAAGTCTTTTATCCATTTTGAGTTTATTTTTGTGTGTGGTGTGAGTTGGTGGTCTAGTTTCATCTTTTTGCATGTATCTGTCCAATTTTCCCAACACCATTTATTGAAGAGACTGTCTTGACTCCATTGTATGCTCTTGCCTCCTTTGTCGAATATTAATTGGGCATAGTGGTTTGGGTCGATTTCTGGGGTCTCTATTCTATTCCATTGATCTATATGTCTGTTCTTGTGCCAGTAGCAAGCTGTTTTAAGAACAGTGGCTTTGTAATACAGTTTGATATCTGGTATTGAGATCCCACCTACTTTGTTCTTCTTTCTCAGGATTGCTGCAGCTATTCGGGGTCTTCTTTTATTCCAGATGAATTTTTGGAACGTTTGTTCTAGATCTGTGAAGTATGCCGTTGGTATTTTAATGGGGATTGCATTGAATCTATAGATTGCTTTGGGTAGTATGGACATTTTGATGATGTTGATTCTACCAATCCATGAACACGGTATGTTCTTCCATCTGTTTATGTCTTCCTCTATCTCTTTTTTCAGTGACTTGTAGTTTTTCTCATATAAGTCTTTTATCTCCTTAGTTAAGTTTATTCCTAGGTATCTTAATTTTTTTGGTGCGATGCTAAATGGGATTGCTTTTTTAGTCTCACTTTCTGTAAGTTCACTATTGGTGTAAAAAATGCCATGGATTTCTTGGCATTAATTTTGTATCCTGCTACATTGCCGAATTCATTTATTAAGACTAATAATTTTTTGATGGAGTCTTTAGGGTTCTCTATGTACAGTATCATGTCATCTGCAAATAAGGACAGTTTTACTTCTTCTTTTCCAATTTGGATGCCTTTTATTTCTTCTTCTTGCCTGATCACAACGGCTAGTACTTCCAGTACTATGTTGAACAGGAGTGGTGAGAGGGGGCATCCTTGTCTTGTTCCTGTTTTTAGGGGGAATGGTTTTAGTTTTTGCCCATTGATTATGATGTTGGCTGTGGGTTTGTCATATATGGCTTTTATTATGTTGAGGTATGATCCCTCTATTCTTACCTTGCTGAGAGTTTTCATCAAGAAAGGCTGTTGAATTTTGTCAAAAGCTTTTTCTGCATCAATTGATATGATTATGTGGTTTTTTCTCTAAATTTGTTTATGTGATGTATTACGTTTATTGATTTGAGGATATTGTACCATCCTTGCATCCCTGGAATAAATCCTACTTGGTCATGGTGTATGATCTTTCTGATGTACTGCTGGATCTGATTTGCTAGGATTTTGTTGGGGATTTTGGTATCTATGTCCAGGAGGGATATTGGCCTGTAATTCTCTTTCATTGAGTTGTCTTTACCTGGTTTTGGTATTAGGGTGATGCTGGCTTCATAGAATGAGCTGGGAAGTGTTCCTTCCTCTTGGATCTTTTGACATAGTCTGAGGAGGATAGGTTTTAGTTCTTCCTTGAATGTTTGGTAAAACTCCCCTGTGAAGCTGTCTGGTCCCAGGCTTTTGTTTGCTGGAAGCTTTTTGATGACTGCTTCAATTTCCTCCATAGTTATTGGCCTATTGATATTTTTAGTTTCTTCCTGATTAAGTTTTGGAAGGTTGTATTTTTCTAGGAATATGTCCATTTCCTCCAGGTTGTCTAGTTTGTTGGAGTAGAGTTGTTCATAGTATTTTCTAACAATCCTTTGTATTTCTGTGGGGTCTGTTGTTATTTCGCCTCTTTCATTTCTGATTTTGTTTATTTGGGTCCTCTCTCTTTGCTTCTTGGTGAGCCTGGCTAGAGGTTCATCAATCTTGTTTATCCTTTCAAAGAACCAGCTCTTGGTTTTGTTGATCTTTTGTATTGTTTTTTTTTTGGTCTCTTTGTC